TCTTTCTATATTTAGTAGAGATGGGGTCTCGCTCTTGCTCAGGCTGGTTTCGAACTCCTGAGCTCAAACAATCCGCCCGCCTCAGCCTCCCGGAGTGCTAGGATTACAGGTGTGAGCCACCGCGCCCGGCCTGTTTAAACTTTTTTTTGATAGTTACAGCTTTATTGAAATATTTTGTTGAGATACTTTCTGTCGTTATAGGTTTGTCTATTCTAAATATTTCATAAAAGTAAAATCTTTTGTGACTGGTTTTTACTTAGTATAGCGTTTTCAAGGTTCATCCATGTTGCACCATGTATTAGTACTTCATTCTTTTTTATTGCCAAATAAGATTCTATTGTATGGATATACCAGATTTTGTTTGTCCATTTATCAGTTGATGGACATTTAGGTTGTTTCTGCTTTGGCTCTTATGAATAATGCTGTTATGAACATTTGTGTACAAGCTTCTTTGTAGACATATGTTTCCACTTCTTGGATATGTACCTAGGAGTAGAATCATTGGGTCAGATAACTAACTGTTTAATGTTTTGAGGAACTGCCAAATTGTTTTCCATAGTGGCTACTTCATTTTTCGTTCCCACAAGCAGTTTACCAGACTTCCAAATTCTCCATATCCTTGACAATACTTGTTATTCTATGACTTTTGAATGTCGTCCTTTAAAGTTTTTTTAACTTTCATGCCAAGGTGGTATGAAGATCTCATCCCTTCTAACAACCTTAACATAGTCATTTTGCTTACAGGCTTTTTACTTTTTCTTGAAGAGACCAGCTTTTGTTTATAGTTCATGTACTACTTCAACTATTTAGGCAAGAAAATAAAGCATGTATCTAAAGAATTATTTGAACATTGTTCTTAGCATCTATGGCAAGTGATCAAGAAACCTCCAACAACAATACAGGATCTTCCAAGTGTCTCTTGGCACACTTACCATAGTGGAGCTTCAAGAATTCTGCCTATAAGCAGGATTCTCTTTCTTCCTTATGGTTGCTAACCTCCAGTAGTCTAAGCTTTATTCTTTTACTCTAGTCTGCAGTTTTCAGAACAAGCCTAGTCCCTTTGAACAACAAGGTAACTTAATAGCACAAGCTCTACCAATGTTTCAAAATACTCCTTATCTGTTGTCAAAGAACTAGAATTGACAAAAAGCTGAAGCTCTCGTTAGGTTCAAAGTGCTGGTCCAGTGCTTGCCCGTGCCAAATTTTTCATTGGCTTTTAGTAAAATGGGATAAATGAGTGGATGTGGATATGTGTGTTTAGAATCTTTTTAAACTGAAATAATGGCCTTTCTCTAGTATAGAGTAATTCCTAAGAAACTGGATCCATGACTAGGACTGTCTAGGTTCAGAGCTTAGCTCTTCCTTTATTAGTGACCTTTGGCAAGTTACCTAACCATTCTTTGCTTCGGTTTTTTTTATCTGTAGAATGAAGATAATAGCACCTATCTCATACTATTGTGAGAATTAGATGAGTTAATACATGTAAAGCATTTAAAAGTCTCTGGCCTATATTAAGTGCTGTATGTATTTGCTACTGTAACTGCATTTTGATGTTTAAAAATAATCTCTACTTTGCAATCAAACATTGAAAACCTTATGTTAGTCCACAAGATTTTGTTACTGTTTGCTTATAACTTCACTGGTTTGTGAAATAAAAAACCAGAAATCACCAGTGTAGTAGCATATAGAATTTGGAATTTTTTTTTCAATACTTTGAGTAACTGTTTTAGGAATTTTAGAATAAATGATACAGGTTTGAATTCTGACACCATCAGTGAGTAATTCTGATATTTTGAACAAGTTATTTAACCTGTGAGCCACATTGTCCCCGACTATAAAATGAGGTTACCAATAATGTATTTGTCCAAAGTTTTAATTAAGATTAAATGACGTATGTCAAACAACCTGGTACAGAAGGCAGTCAGTAAATGTTAGTCCTTTTCTTAATTGTGAAGTTAGTATTATGTGAATACATAGTGAATTCACATATAATTATGTAAATATTCTAT